CCCAAGATCTTAGGAGGTGAATAAATAAGAAGGGATTGCAGCATGGCCATTCCCTCAAGGAGGGTGATTTCTCACTTTCCTTCTCACTATGTCTGTCTCTCTCTCAGGCAGCACACATACCCTAAGGCAATAAGCTCTTAAAAAAAATACAAAAAAAAAATACTCTTCACAATCTAAATGATGTATAGCAATTGAATGGATAAATAATAATAATAATAACAACAACAACAAAAAGTATACACACACAAGCGCCAAATTTAAATTACCTAACACCTAATACTTCTTTGCCTGTGTTACTACAGATCTGTTAAATCAAAAGCTGCATATAAAAAAAAAATCAGGATCCTCCTGCCTCAGTCTCTCAAACAGCTTGGACTACTGGAGCCACCAAGCCTGGCTCTTAGAGAGAGTTGTAAATTGATCCCAGGCCTCCCACGTACCCTCAGCCAGCTGAGTAGCATCATCAGCCAGCACATGTTACCATGAATGGGCTAAAAGTAGCATTTTCTTATGCAAGAAAGTGCTATTAAAAAAAATTTTATTTTAATGGCAGAAGCATTTCGTAAGGGGTTCTCACTAGCTAATTCTAGGACAATTTAAACACAAAAATAATTAAGTACTATACTGAACTATAATGCACTGGGAGAGGAAAAATTCAGAAGTCTAAACCAATAATTAGGTAAATAAATGAAAGAGAAGGGAAAGCTCTAGCTTACATAAGAATACAAAGACCAGTAAATGTAGAGATCACAGGAGTTTACAAATTATCATTTTGCAACAATCACAGTAATAGAATTGGATCAGTTAAGAATCATGAATGAAGGGCCAGCAAGTGGTATGGTGGTTGGGGTTTGAATCCTGGGCCTGGAGGCTTGCTTTCTCACTCTGTATCTTTCTCTCTGTCTCTAGTCAAACTGAAGAATAATAAATAAAACTAAATAATTATTTTTTTAAAGAAACATGAATGAATAGAAAATCAAGGAGAAAATTTTTATAAAGAGAATATAGGTGTTCTTTTTTTCACTATTTTTCTTTTTGTTTTTAGAGAGGTTTTTGCTATAGGGCGTGTGCGCTCGCCAGAAAGACAGAGAGAGACAGAGAGACAGAAAGCGAGAAATCACCCCCCCAAGGGGGATGGTCACACCGCAATCCCTTTTCCTCCCTTCTCCTCTAGGGATCTTGGGCATGCACGCACACGCGCCCGATGTGAGTTTAAGCCACCGGGTCCAGGACTCAAACCACGATTGACTACATGGGAGTCCAGCAACATAGCCATTACACTAACTGCTGGTCCCAGAAGAATATAGTTTTTAAGTACCTCCCCACAGACTGCTTACTAGTTGCAAGGGAGAAATTAAGTAATTATACAGAGAAAAAAATCAGACACCTTGACTAGGTAATCCAAATTAACATTATTGGTGAAGGATGAATGGTTATCAAATACCTCCAGATGTGTAAAGAACACAACATCACCTATGCTGCAACGTACAATCTTAATTTAATCATGAGGAAATATTAAACAAACTCAAAATAAGCAATGCATATTCTTCAAAAAATATCTATGTCTTAAGAGAAGATCGAGAAGGGCTATGGAAATGTCCCAGATTTTAAAAAGTTAAAGACATATGTTAACTAAACACAGTATCTGATCTTTCAGTGAATCCTGAGCTGAAGAGGAAAAAAGATTTGGGGTTAACTACCAAAACCGGAAGACAAATAATAGGTCAGATAAAAAGTATTATACAAATGCTAAACTCACTAATGTTGATAAATATACTGTGGTTATGTATAAGAGACATCTCTAATCTTAGGAAATATGCCTTTTATGCCTTTAGAGGTAAAGTGCCATGATGTATAGAACTTATTCTTAAATTGTTTGTTAAAACAATGTGTGACTGAGAAAGTGTGTGTGCAGATAGGATGCTGTGGGGGGTAGGGAGGACAAGGTTAGGGAAGTAAGAAAGAGAAGGGAGAGAAAAGAAGAAGGGAGGAAGATGGCCCAGCATCAATGGTATGCAGGCAGTACCAATACTTGGGAGCCTGGAAGCCATATGGAAGGCTCAGGTTCAGTTTCCAGGCCAACCTGAATGTACCAGGCACAGCTGCTCATACCTGTAATCCTAGCTAACTGGGAGGCCAGGGCAGGAGGATCACAATCCTGTCCAAAAAAAAAAAAAAAAAGAAATCTTGGGTGGTTCTGTCTCTTCCCTTTCTCTCTTTCTCTCTCTCTCTCTCTCTGGAAAAAATTAGAGTAAGGGATAGGTGAGACAAAAAAAAAAAAAGAATGGGGTAAAATGTTAACACTAAATAAATCTGAGTAAAGAGCATACAGGTGTATTTCTGTACTAATTATATTTCAACTCTTCTGTACATTTGAAATCACTTTTAAATAAAAGTTTTAAAGCACTGCTATATCTAATACTAATAAGAAAATTTGATGAAAAAAGTTGATATATAAAAATGTTAACCATATCATTTTAAGACTGTACTATCAAACATCAAAAGTACCTTTTATCTTAAGTTATTTCTCATCAATTTTAAGAATCATCCATTTCAAAACTCACCATTATTAGGACTAGCAGTTAGCGTAATGGCTATGTCGCTGGACTCCCATGTAGTTGACCGCAGTTCACATCCTGGACCCGGTGGCTTAAAACTCACACCGGGCACATGTGCATGCGTGTCCAAGATCCCGAGAGGAGAATGGAGGAGAAAGGGATTGCGGCATGGCCATCCCCCTTGGGGGGTGATTTCTCGCTTTCTGTCTCTCTGTCTCTCTCTGTCTCTCTGGCGAGTGCATACACCCTAAAGCAAAAACCTCTCAAAAAAAAAAAAAAAATCACCATTATTTATTCCACAAAGAAAAAAAAGTTGATAACTATAAAATCTATTGATTGTAAAACACAGAGATGTTAAGTATGAAGACATGTGTCTTAAAAATGATGAAATACAGTGTTTATACATGGCCAAATTTCACGATTAAAAACACATGCATGCATCACTGTACCAAGTTCCTTCATAGAGCTTTTTCTATTACTGAACACTGGTAGCAGGATCTAAAAAAAAAAAGAGAGTGGAGCTACACACTACTTTCTAAAGAAAGCTGCAGATAATGGGGACAAGACACCTTCTCTAAGATTTAAGAGAGACAGAGGTATGCATGATACCATCAACCAGCACCTCCATGGCCCTCCATCCTCATTCAAGTCTAGAGAATGTGGAAGGCAGACAAAGGGAATAGCTGTGGTCTACAATTATTTTGAGGAAGACACTTTTCTTTCTTTTGACCATCATCAATTTCTCCCACTCCTTGAAGGCAAGAGAAAAGGCATTTGTAATTCCAGTTTTTTACCATTATGCTGTGTATTAATGATTTACTATAATACTGTTTATTAATAAACATCCTTAAAAATCTGTCTTTAAATAGTCATACTTGGATTTCCAATAGCATAGAATCCCTAGAATGAGACTAATGTGTCCAATAAGAGATTCTTCTTATCATTATCTATGTTGCCTGACTGGTTTTAAAAATGGGTATACATACATTTTATATCAACAACCTGAGAATGTGCTTTTCTCCAGCATCACTACATATTTTTGCAACCTGGTATATCTTATGGCTACTTTCATTTGCATTTCCCTATCAATATTTGTGAATTGGGACATGCAGACATATATTAGTCATCTAAACAGCTTTCCCATGATCTAGTTATTCATATTCTTGCCTGTTTTAAGTTTTCTACCCATTGTGAAGAAATTTATACTATAGATAGTAATCTTTCATCCATCATCTGCATTACATATTTCTCTATTATCATTTGTTATTGACTGTTTATGTTGTCTTTTTGTCCCACAAGAGTTCTTTCTGCTGTTCTTTTTTGAATACCTTTCCTGTGAATAGATACATATGCACAGATGTGTAGAAATTTAAAAAAATTTTTTGGAAAAAATTAAAGTAGTGTAAGTTCACATTATTGCAAAAAAATTTGAAATCCATGCATAACTTTTTCATAGTATGCATTTTTTTGGAGAGGTTTTTGCTACAGGCCGCATGTGCTTGCCAGAAAGACAGAGACAGAAAGACAAACAGAAAGTGAGAAATCACCCCCCGCAGGGGGATGGCCACGCTGCAATCCTTTCTTCTCCATTCTCCTCTCAGGATCCTGGACATGCACACACAAGTGCCTGGCATAAGTTTAAGCCAGTGGGTCCAGGACGCAAACCTCGGTCAACTACACAGGAGCCCAGCAACATAGCCATTACACTATCTGCTGGTCCCCATATGCATTTTTCATGAACTTTTGAAAGACTCCTTGTATGTTTGTAATTACACATCATTTACACATATACACAGGAGCCCAGCAACATTTTTTTTTTTTGGAGAGATTTTCACTGTAGGGCACGTGCGCTCGCCAGACAGACAGAGAGAGACATAGAGACAGAAAGCGAGAAATCACCCCCCAGGGGGGATGGTCACGCCGCAATCCCTTCTCCTCCATTCTCCTCTTGGGATCTTGGGCACGCACGCACACGCGCCCGGCGTGAGTTTTAAGCCACCGGGTCCGGGACACGAACCACGGTCGACTACGTGGGAGTCCAGCGACCCAGCCATTACGCTAACTGCTGGTTCCCTAAAATATGTATCTTTTGAAGCCTCTGAGATTCCAATAACTAAATGGAAAAGTAATAAAAAATTATAGAAAAGTTAAAGTATTTGCTTTCCATATAAATAAGGGACAACAGGAAAAGGTGATGTGGATACAGATGAAGCAGTTATTACTGAAAAAAAATAATTTAATGTTTATTTCCCCCATCAGTTAAGATTTTCAATGAACCAGTCACACCTAACATAAAGCATTATTATTCTCATCCTTGTTTTTAATTGGAGAAACTGACATATGAGGAAAAGCCATGAGGAATAGAGCTGAGATTCTATAATATACTGAAACACAGTAATAATGACAATAAAAGTTTCTGATAGCATTTAGGAGCATGCTTACCTTTCAATAGCTAATTCTTTGTTAGAAAGTTGCTGCACTGTAATCACAACCTTCTTCTCCACTCCTTGCTTTAACTTGAAATAAAATTTATCTCTATCCTTAGGCACAGGACTGAAACAGTCAAAAAGAACAGGAATTATCAATATAATAATACAATAAAAATGATAGGATAAGCTATTCCAAGGCTAGAACAAGACAACTAAGTATTTAAGCAACAACACTCTTACCTTAAAATGTACTAAACTCTCACCTTGCCACAGATAACTATAAATTATATAGTCAGCAAAACGGAACTGTTAATGACTGTTAAATTAGGGGCCAGCTGGTGGCACAGTGGATAAGGCGCTGAATTCCCACATGGTTAGAGTCCTGGACCCAGCACCTTGAAACTCATGCCAGGCACACATGCATGTGTTTTCCCAAAATCCCGAGAGGGGAATAGAGGAAGAGATTGTGGTGTGGCCATTACCCTGGAGGGTGATTTCTTGCTTTCTGTCTCTCTCTGTCTCTCTGGTGAGCACACGAGCCTATAGCAAAAAATCTCTAAATAATAATAATTGTTAAGTTAGATTTATAAGAACCATTTATCTATCTCTTATCCAACATTAAAACCAAGATCTTAAAAATGACTTAATTTTAAATTTCAGCATTTAAATTTAACAAATTAAAAAATATGGTTTATTTAATTTTTTTCTAAGACTGTCACATTTCTGGTTTAGATGGTTTGGCAGTCGTGAGTACTTATACCACAGTGAAATATGAGGCAAAAGTGAGGATAAGAGTTTACTTTTAGACACCTATAATTTGAGATGACTATGCTATAACTCAGCAAATATGAATAAAAGATGAACAAAGAGATGAGGGGTAAGCTCAAATTCTAGCCTATGCAAGACTGACTATTCTTACTATTTAATTCATTAAAACAATTTCTAAAATACAATTTGTCTTATCCATAAAGAAAAAGATAGGCTGAGCAACTTATGTAACCTAAGAGTCAATTTCTATAACTATAAAATACCTACCTAGAAATTTTTATTAGAATTAAAGACACGGTTAAGGCAACAGGTAATCATTAAAAAGGACAAACTATTTATTAACTTCCCATATCTGAGCTGTAGAAAAACATTCTAAATGTATAACAGAAAAAAATGGCTAATTAAATGATGGCCAAATTATGTAACATACTATTGGTAACCATAAAAAATTATTTAAAGGAGCCAGCAGGTGGTATAGTGGCTGGGGTGCTGGACTTGCACATGGTTGACCCAATTCAGGTCCCGAACCCAGTGGCTTGAAATTCACGCTGGGTACATGTACATGTACATGTATGCCCAAAATCCTGAGAGGAGAATGGAGGGGAAGGTATTGTGGTGTAACTACCACCTGCCAATGGGGGATGATGTCTCACTTTCTGTCTCTCTCTCTCTTTCTCTTTCTCTCTCTCTCTCTCTCTCTCTCTGGTGAACATACGTGCCCTACAGCAAAAATCACTCAAAAAAAAAAAGATGTTAAGAATATTTTAATGAAATAATCCTTATAAAGAGAAAAAAATTATATACACAAATGTGCAAAAATTCCCCTAGAAATAAACAGAATAAACCAAAAGTTAAAATGATGGTCAGGTCAGGTCCATGCCCTGAGATTGAGGTAGCTGGATCCCATATAGCTGACTCTAAAATTCAAGTCCCAGACCAGGCAACTTGAGAAACATACCAGGTGTATGTGCATGCATGCCCAAAATATGGAAAGGAGAGACATAAGAAATGGGATCATGGGGACCAGCAGATGACATTAATATCTACATCACTGGACTCCCATGTAGTCAACCACAGTTCAAGTCCCAGACCCAGTGGCTTAAACTCACGCCAGGCGCATGTGTGAGCATGACCAAGATCCCAAGAGAAGAATGGAGGAGAAGGGATTGTGGCATGGTCATCCCCCAAGAAGCTGATTTCTCACTTTTTGTCTCTCTGTCTCTCTCTGTCTTTCTGGTGAGTGCATGCACCCTATAGCAAAACCCTCTCAAAAGAAAAAGAAAAAGGAAAAAATGGGATCCTGACATAAAGATTCTCCACAAGGGATGCTTTCTTCTCTCCTTCTTTCTGGTGAGCACACATGCCCTCTAGCCAAAACCAAAAAAAGAGTGAGTGTGGCTGATAAGATTATCATTTATTCTTTTATTTACTAAATTTTCTGCAAAAGGTCTTTTTTTTAAATCATTGAGTAAAGCATTTAAGTACCTGAAAAGCATGAAAACCACTACATATAGTTGTTCACAGTAAAATACATTTAGTCAGTAGGCAAATATTTCTTTATGTTTAAGGCTTTATGCCCACACTGTAGAGTTTCTTAAAGTTTTATATTAGCCAATATTGTATTTCAGGCACAGTGCTAAATTTTATTCTTTCCAAATAATCTTACCTAAAGTTGCCTTTTCCATCATCTTCTTTTACCTCCAAGGAGACACTGAAGGTAAATACATCACTGTCAGGGGTAGGAATAATCGAATCTTTAACATCAGACACTTGTCTGGAAGAACGTTTGAATGCTGTACAGAAACTATATAAAATTCTGCTTACCTAAAAAAATAAAAATGGAAGTACCATTAGGCAGAGGTTTTATCTACATGCTGATATGCTTCTCTCCTGTCTTGAATCTATAACCTTACGTAACTATGATTTCCTGTAGCAGATTAAAAAAATATATGTAGTCTAAACCTCTATCAACTGTTGAGATACTGCATGACAAAATTTTCACTGTTTATACATTAAAGAGGGGTAGGTAAACATATGTATGAAGTAAATGCAGACCATCCTAACTTGAAATTACTATCCCAGTTGTTCGTGTGAATTTTAGGAAGGCCCATATTGCTAAAACTGGCCTTCAAACAGAAATTCATTTCAGAGAATTTTTAATTTATGAAATTAAAAATAGAACATAACTTCACACAAACATATGAGGTATGTTTTCAAATATGTATATATGTATAGGTATATGTTCAAATATATATGTATAGGTATATGTTCAAATATGAGGTATGTTTTCAAACCCACACAGAGAAAAATTCAACAATAAACACCAATGGTATAAACACTAAGGACCAGAAGAGAACTCAGACTCAGAAGCTGCAACTAGGATCAGAGCATCCTAAAAATGAAGAAAGCCAGGAGGATGAAGAACACCCAGGAGAGATGATAAGTTTTTATCTTTATTTATTCACATATTTTTGAGTTAGAGATTTTTACGATAGGGCGTATACAGTCGGCAAAGAGACAGAAAAAAGAGAAAGAAAGAGGTCACCCCCCAGGGGAGATGGCCATGCTGAATCCTTTCTCCTCCAATTCCCTCCTGGAATTTTGGGTACTCATGCACACATGCTCAGGTTGAGTTTTAAGCTGCCAGGTTCGGGACTAGAACTGCAGGTGACGTGTAGGAGTCCAACGCCTTAACTACCACACCACTTACCCCAACTGATGTCTTTTAACTATGATACAGAATCTCTCAAAAATACACCAGATAGATACCTGGCAAGAAACTAACAATGATAGGAACATTACATAACCAACATAATGGTTGCGTTGCTAAACTCCCATGTAGTCGACCGCAGTTCAAGCCACAGACCCAGTAACTTAAAACTCACACTAGGCGCATGTGCATGCATACCAAAAATCCTGAGGGGAAAATGCAGGAGAAGGGATTGTGGTGTGGCCATTGCACAGAGGGTGATTCCTCTGTGATTCCTCATTTTCTGTCTCTCAGTTTCTGTCCCTCCAGTGAGCACAAGCACCCTATAGCAAAACTCTCAAAAAGAAAGAAAAAAAAAAAAAAAACACAGCTCACGATGTCAGTATCAGAGGAGATTATTTCATATTTCACAGAAAATTTTCTTTGAAAACATTCTCCACTGAAGAAACTGCCTCTGTAGCAAGTTATGCTTGGGTATTATTTAGATACAGCATGCTTATCATTTGTCAGGAAATATTTATCCTATGCAGTAAACAATATCTGATTATTTTAGTAATTTTTCTCAATACAGTCTCTTCTGTGCCAGATACAAATAAGTTATCACTCTGTTAATAGACTTTACTGCTGTCAATCATCTTTACATGAATCTTTACATCTATGTAGCTTTTCATTTAATAAAGTCCATCTATATACATTACTTCATTTGATCCTTCAAAACAACCTTGTAGAACAAGTCTAACAGGTTTTTGCAACACTTTACAAACAAAGGTGAGGGGGGGGGGCTGAGGGGGAGGTGTCAAAAACTTTCCCCAAAAGCTAAGTAACTAAGCTAAGACTAGAATTCTGAGTTGAAGGCTTTTTAAGGAGATACCCCCACAAAGATGAGAATCACGCTTGGAAAATTTATATACCATCACCCCTCAGTATCCACAGGGGACAGGTTCTATGACACCTTGTGAATACCAAAATCCATGGATGCTCAAGTCCCTTATGTTAAATAGGGCAGCACAATCAATCCTCCATACCCACCAGGTTTGACATAGATGCAGAGTGCCAACTGTCTGTTAACATAATAACACTTTCAACAGCTACATAGGAATGCTGCCTGTCAGCCTAAAGTTCAACTTCTGCCATAGCACTGGATGTGTATCACAACAGTTATAACATTTTTTAAATGTTTAATATAGGGGACTGAGCCGGAACAGTAAAGAATGATGGAAACAAACAAACAAAATCAGACTTTATCTTTTTCTCTTTTGGAGAAAGAAGATAATAACAACTTAATAACAGCAATCACACTACATTTAATACTGACCGAGTCTTACCATTTGCTATTTCCACCAAATTATATTATATAATTATATTTTATATATATATAATAAAAATAAAAGCAGTGAGGCTGGCAGGTAGAATGGTAGTTAAGAACACTGAACTCCCACACAGTGGAACATATTTTGAGTCCTGGACCTGACAACTTGCTTTCTCACTTTCTCTCACTCTGTCCCTCTCTGGTCAAATTAAAATAAATAAAGTTAAATAAAAGAATTCTTTTTTTAAAAAGGCAGCAAAGAATTGATTTAATAATAACCATAGGCTTTACATCTTACACAATTAAGAAAACGATAAGTTTACATTCATTCAACAAATTTTTTTGAACACTTTCTGTGTTAAGTACTATTCTAAGTGCTAGGGATACAATAGAGAACATGGAGCTTACATTCCAGCAAATGTAAACTGAATGTGTATGAAGTAGGCGAGAGGAAATCATTAGGTAAGCAGAAACAGAAATGTTTAACCTAAGCTAGATAATCGCCTTAGCCTAAAGTGTTACGGAGGAAAACAGAATCAATGAATATGTTAGAAACAGGCCAATGACGATTATACCTAAAGTATAAATAAAAGGTAAAGTATAAATAAAAACTTTAAACTACTTTTGAGTGCTCCCAAATTCTACCCCCAAATAAAATGTGAAGTCTATTGCTTACTTTTTATATATTCAACTTCAATGTGTGTATATACGTGTGTGTATATATGTGTGTGTGTGTGTGTGTATATATATATGTGTGTGTGTGTGTATATGTGTGTGTATATATATATATATATATATATACACACACACATATATATATATATATATGAGGTTTCTGCCTTAGGGCATGTGTGCTCGCCAGGCAGAGGGACAGATACAATTCCTTCTCCTCCATTTTCCTCCCGGGATCTTGGGTACATATGCACATGCACCTGACGTGATTTTCAAGTCACTAGGTCTGGGATTCAAACTGCAATCAGCCATGTGGGAGTCCAGCGATGTAATTATTACTCCACCTGCTGGTCTTTTTATTTTATTTATTTTTTTTTTTAAAGAGAGATTTTTGCAATAGGGCACATGTGTTTGCCAGAGAGACAGAAAGTGAGACATCACCCCTCAAAGGGGATGACCATGCCACAATCCCTTCTCCTCCATGCTCGCCGCGGGATTTTGGGTACACATGCACAGATGCCTGGTGTGTTTTCAAGACGCCGGGTCTGGGACTCAAACTTCAGTCAATCACGTGAGAGTCTAGCACCTTAACCACTATGCCACTTGTTGGCTCCGACGTCAGTATATTTTTAACAAAGTATTACATGTGAAAATGGGAAGACTACCTGTAACAAAATTTAGAGTCAAATCTCAATATGTGTTATTCCCATTTCCTATCTCTCCTTCTCTTTGTCTTTGTGTCAGAGACACAAGCAAGTTTACCACATCAGAACACCACACCAAAAACATCCAAAAAAACTTGGCAAATTCTAAAGTACATGGCAAGGTTTCAAAAATTTCTTCTTAGAAAAGGTTTAGTATAGGGACCAGCAGTTAGCGTAATGGCTATGTCGCTAGACCCCCATGTAGTCGACTGTGGTTCGTGTCCCGGACCCGGTGGCTTAAAACTCACGCCGGGTGCATGTGCGTGTGTGCCCAAAATCCCAAGAGGAAAATGGAGAAGGGACTGTGGTGTGGCCATCCCCCCTGGGGAGTGATTTCTTGCTTTCTTTCTCTCTTTGTGGGGGGCTATGAGCCCTTTGAAAAAAAACTTTTAAAAAAAAAAAAAAAAAAAAACGTTTAGTATAAGAGGTCTGAGCCAGAGCAGTAAAGATGATGGAACAAACAAACAAACAAATAAAAATCAGACTTTACCTTTTTCTCTTTTAGAGAAAAAAGATAATAATAACTTAATTATTAAGGAGGAGAAAGTACTGTAGTGTGGCCATACCCCTGGGGGGTTATTTCTGTCTGTCTCTCCAACAAGAACACATACCCTATAACAAAAACAAAAACTAAAACTAAAACAAAAACAAAAAAATTCGAAAAAAAAAGGGAAAAGAAAAATCAAATTCCACATGGCAAAAGATAATAATAATTTAATTAACAGCAATCACACTACATTTAATACTGACCAAGTCTTGCCATTTGCTATTTCCACCAAAAAGGTTAAAATCATTTGTGAATTCTAGAGTCTATGAGTAACTTGAAATGGTGATCTAAAGATTATAAACTTTTTAAAAAATATTCTCAATATTTATAGTTCTTGGAACAAACTGGGTAACCAGGCTAGCTCCATGGCAAAGCAGTAAAAGCTCTGCTTAAAGGACCAGCAGATGGCATAATGGTTATGTCACTGGACTCCCACATGGTTGACCATGGTTCAAGTCACAGACCTGGCAGCTTAAAACTCACACCAGGTACGTGTGCATGTGTGCACTAAATCCCAAGAAAAGAATGGAGGAGGAGAAAGGACCGTAGCGTGGCCATCCTCCTGGGGGGTTATTTCTGTCTGTTTCTCCAACAAGAACACATACCCTATACCAGAAAAAGAAAATAAAGGGGAAAAGAAAAATCAGATTCCACATGGCAAGCACAATTCAAATCCCTGGCCCAATCAGCCTGAAACACGCTGGGCACACCTATGAGTGCCAAGGATCCAATAGACTTAAGGAAGGAAATCGTGGTGTGGAGATTGTGATGTGACCAGACCCTACAGAGGGTGCTCATCTCTCTTTCTCTTTCTCTCTCTCTCACACATACACACACACAATAGTGAATAAAAAAAAAAAAAAATTGGGTAACCATAAAAAG